TCTCTAGAATAGACCCATCAACTGAATTAGGTCACCAATCCTAACAACATGATTTCTCGAATTTTGTCACTTACACTAGGAAAGTCCAGTTCCACCATTAGGAATGGTACATCTAGATATAGGCGTACCATAACCTTGGTATGCACTACCAAGTCACATGTGGAGTTAGCCTATTGGTCATCCTCAAAGAATCACTCAACTTTTCTAAGTACTTGGTTAAGGGTTGTAGCCGTCAACCTCCCACCTTACTTAACCATTAACTAAGGATCTAAAGGAGACTCAACACACATCAAAACCTACTTCAAGAGATACACCTACTCAAGAAGGATTTTCCAACAATAGCCTACCCAAGCACCACTTTAAGATTGCTTGTGTGGGATCTTTAGATTTTAAAGTAATTTCCTCTCCTCAAGTCTTAAGTTAGCCAATATGCCTTAATGCCACATCACATTCTCAACATCCACACCTTACCATACATCACATCTAATCAATATATGTAGAGAGATGAACAACATCATATATATATATATATAGCTTATATATGCTCATCATCATTCAATATCATACAAACATCTACATATGTCATATCCAATCAACATACATATAACCTATACATTTACTCATTTTCATCATATAACATTCCAAAAATACACCCTCCATTTAGGCATTCTACACCCGATGCAACATACCTCACACCCGACACCATCGAGGCAAAGAGCTCTTAGCCTCGCTCATGCCCGACATCATCCAAATCAGACTCGACGTGATCGAGGTGGAAACCCCCATGGGACTTCACGCCTATCGTGGCAAAATCCATATTAGGCCTCATATTAAGTAGAGAGCCTCTATCTGACTCACACCCAATGTCACCTCAGTGGTGCCCGAAGTCATCTAGATAGAGAGTCTTTGCCTTGATCACGTTTGGCGCCAGCCAACTAGGGCCTAACGTCACCAAGCCATAGACTTCAGATGCTTTCACACCTAGCACTATTCGAACCATGCCTAGTGCCATCCCAACCCAAGATGAGTCTCTCTCCTCATACCCGACACCATTGATCCTTTGATTGGCGTGAATGAGATAGAGACTCATGGTTGGAACTACACCCTACGCCACGAAGGCACAACCAGCGTGACAATAGAAGTCTACACTTGCAAACCACGAAAATTGCCTCATTCACTTGAAATACAGAAAATCCAACACATGCATTGCATCCAAAAACTCACAAATCATATAAGACTCAAAATCAAGCTAAAACAACACATTCACCCACAGTTAAAGGAATCACCAATTCCACCTCCATGAACCCAACCACTCGAGTTCAACATGACCAACCCCAAATTCATGTAATTTCAACACTTAAAAGCATGCAACCCACAACCCATTTAATGCATTCAACTCAACCATTCATTAAAAGACTTCCTAACTTTCTTTACCTCAACTTTGAGCCAACTGAATCTGAAGAAGAGGAAGAATAAGGAAAAACCACTCCAAGCTTGAAGAAGACGGGCTCTGCACCCAAGATTCTCAACTTCCATTTCAAATCACCACTCCCACAAAGACAGCCACCCTCAAAAAGGATCTGAAAGAAGAAAATGAGGAGAAAAGTTTTAGGGAATCAAACTCCATCTCTTTAAAACCTCTCTCTAAGGTATGGAGAACAAGAATTTATGAAACTCTGCTCAAAATATAAAAATTTTATATACATTTTCCTCTTAAAATCAATTGGACCGCTGATCAACAACCCTTACAACTCACCTAAATACAATGTTACAATTAAAATAAAAATATTAAATAATGATTAATAATATTATAAAGTTATTGAATGCATCGGTGTTTAATTTTCATGAAAGGTTAATAACATTGTAAAATTATTGACCTGTCAAACATGGTTAATTATAACGATAAATATAATTCATTCTATTTTATAAATATTTAATAACAAATATATATATATATATATAT